TTTTCTTTTTGTGACTGGTGGTTTAATCCCGATCATTTCCATTTTCTGACTCATGGTTTAATCTTAGTCGTTTCCATTTTCTGGCTCGTGCTTTAATCTAGGTCATTTTCTTTTTCTGACTCAATGTTTAATCCCACTTGTTTTCATTTTTTGACTCGTGGTTTAATCTAGGTTGTTTTTCATTTTTTAACTCGTACTTTAATCCCAGTCATTTTCATTTCTTGACTCATGATTCAAACTGGTCGCGTTCATTTTCTAACTCATGGTTTAGTCTCGATCATTTTTTCTTTCATTTTTTAATCGTTTTCAATTTCTGACTCGTGGTTTAATCCGAATCCTTTTCATTTTCTGACTCAATGTTTAATCTCGGTCGTTTTCCTTTTTCTAGCTAGTGGTTTAATCTCGATCATTTTCATTTTTTGACTCATGGTTTAATCCTTATCGTTTTCATTTTTTGACTACTGATTTAATCCTGGTTATTTTTTATTTCTGACTCATGATTTAATCTCAATCGTTGTCATTTTTTGACTCATGATTTAATCCCGATTGTTTTCATTTCTTAACTCGCGATTTAAACCTGATTGTATTCATTTTTTGACTTGTGGTTTAATCCTGGTCATTTTCATTTTTTGACTCATGGTTTAATCTCGATCATTTTCATTTTTTGAATCACGATTTAATCTTGATCTTTCTTATTTTCTAACTCGTAGTTTAATACGGGTCATTTTCACTTTTTTGACTCAGTTTAATCTCGATCATTTATATTTTTTTACTCGTGATTTAATTTCGGTCATTTTTCGTTCTCTGACATGTGATTTAGTTTCGGTGGTTTTGACTTTCTGACTCATGATTTACTTTCAGTAGTTTTCGATTTTTAACATGTGATTTAATATCGATCATTTTCATTTTTCCGACTCATGATTTAATGACGGTTGTTTTTCATTTTCTGACTTGTGATTTAATCTCGATCATTTTCATTTTTTGATTAACGGTTTAATCATGATTATTTTCATTTTTGCACTCATGGTTTAATCTCAGTTGTTTTTGTTTTCTGACTCGTGATTTAATTTTGGTCATTTTCATTTTTGATTTACGGTTTAATTCCTATCGCTTTTGTTCCCTGACTCATGATTTAATCCTAGTCATTTTCATTTTTTGACTTGTGGTTTAATCTGGTTCATTTTCATTTTTTGACTCATGGCTTAATCATAGTATTTTTCATTTTTTGACTCATGGTCTAATCGTGGTCTTTTTTCATTTTTTGACATGTGGTTTAGTTTTATCCTAATCGTTTTTCTTTTTTTGACTGGTGGTTTAATCTTGGTTGTTTCCATTTTCTGACTTGTGGTTTAATCTGGCTCTTTTTCCTTTTCTGACTCATGGCTTAATCAGGATTATTTTCATTTTTTGACTTATGGTTTAATCATAGTCATTTTCATTTTTTGAGATGTGGTCTACTCGTGGTCCTTTTTCATTTTTTGACTTGTAGTTTAGTCCCTATCGTTTTTTTTTTTATGGGTAGTTTAATCCCAATCGTTTTGATTTTCTGACTTGTGGTTTAATCCTGGTCGTTTTCATTTTTTGATTTTTCTTTTAATCTAGGTTTTTTTTCATTTTTTGACTCACGGTTTAATCCCCTTCGTTTTCATCTTCCGACTCATAGTTTAATACCGATCATTTTCATTTTTTTGACTTACGATTTAATCTCAGTCGTTCTTCATTTTTTGACTCGTGTTTTAATCATGATCATTTTCATTTCTTGACTCGTGATTTAAACTCAATCGTATTCATTTTTTGACTCATGGTTTAATCCCAATCATTTTTCTTTTTGATTTTTTTATCGTTCTCATTTTCTAACTCTTAGCTTAATTCCAGTCATTTTCATTTCTTACTCATGGTTTAATCTTATTCATTTTTCTTTTTCTGACTGGTGGTTTAATCCCGGTCATTTCCATTTTCTGACTCATGGTTTAATCTTAGTCGTTTCCATTTTCTGGCTCGTGCTTTAATCTAGGTCATTTTCTTTTTCTGACTCATTGTTTAATCCCACTTGTTTTTGTTTTCTGACTCGTGGTATAATCTAGGTTGTTTTTCATTTTTTAACTTGTACTTTAATCCCAGTCATTTTAATTTCTTGACTCTTGATTCAAACTGGTCGCATTCATTTTCTAACTCGTGGTTTAGTCCCGATAATTTTTTTTCATTTCTCGATCGTTTTCATTTTCTAACTCGTGGTTTAATCCCAATCATTTTCGTTTTCTGACTCAATGTTTAATCTCGATCGGTTTCCTTTTTCTAACTAATTGTTTAATCTCGGTCATTTTCATTTTCTGACTCGTGGTTTAATCCTTATCATTTTTTTTTACTAGTGATTTAATCCTAGTCATTTTTTATTTATGACTCATGATTTAATCTCTGTCATTGTCATTTTTTGACTCTTGATTTAATCCCGATTGTTTTCATTTCTTAACTCAGGATTTAAACCTGATTGTATTCATTTTTTGACTCGTGGTTTAATCCTGGTCGTTTTCATTTTTTGACTCATGGTTTAATCTCGATCATTTTCATTTTCTGACTCGCGGTTTAATCTCGATTTTTTTTATTTTCTAACTTGTAGTTTAATAAGGGTCATTTTCATTTTTTGACTCAAAGTTTAATCCCGGTCATTTTCATTTTTTAACTCATGATTTAATTTCAGTCATTTTTTGTTCTCTGACATGTGATTTAGTTTCGGTGGTTTTGATTTTCTGACTTATGATTTATTCTCAGTAGTTTTTGATTTTTGACATGTGATTTAATATCGATAATTTTCATTTCTCTGACTCATGATTTAATGACGGTTGTTTTTCATTTTCTGACTTGTGATTTAATTTCGATTGTTTTCATTTTTTGACTCACGGTTTACTAATGATCATTTTCATTTTTTGACTTGTGGTTTAATCTCGGTTGTTTTGGTTTTCTTACTCATGATTTAATTTTGGTCATTATCATTTTTTGACTTACGGTTTAATTCCCATCGCTTTTGTTCTCTGACTCATATTTAATCCTAGTCATTTTCACTTTTCTTATCCGTGATTTAATCCTTGTTGTTTTCATTTTCTGACTCGTGATTTAATTTTTTTTGTTTTCATTATCTAAGACGCGGTCTAATCCCTTGCATTTTCATTTTATGACTCGTGGTTTATTCTCAATCATTTTTATTTTCTGACTCATAGTTTAATCTCGATCATTTTCATTTTCTGACCCATGGTCTAATCCTGATCGTTTTTCTTTTTTTGACTGGTGGTTTAATCCTGGTTGTTTCCATTTTTTGACTTGTGGTTTAATCTAGCTCATTTTCATTTTTTGACTCATGGCTTAGTCAGGATTATTTTCATTTTTTGACTCATGGTTTAATCATAGTCAT